GTGGTGCAAAAAGGGAAAAGAAATTTATAATTCTAGAAGGTGGGCCCCAAGTATAACTACCTGGGCATCTCTTCTCATATATCTTGTAGTAATATTTCTTACATTGAAAGTGTTTTCTTAAACTATATAATAAGTGGCAGGGGGACCAATGATATGTGCATATACGCATTAAGATAAGGCTATTACATACACCATTTATAGAAAAGTTCATATGTTTTCGTATTTTTCCTGTTTAGTACCTAATTCTTTGTAATTAGGGTAACCATGAAGTAGATGTAAAATAATACAAATGATGAAATTCTTGTTCATGATACAACATATCACAAGAATATTCATTAATACCTATACTTGAGTTCAGCTTATCACATATATAATTCATATGGATCAAAATGAGTCTTATTAGTTGGATTAAATAAGTTAATATCAATCTTTACATGATTTTAAAGTGTGTGACCATTTAATCTATGCATTTGTATTTCAACAGTAAGATTATAATTAAGTCTATCGATGAAGGTGTCTAGACTTTTTAAAATTAAATTCTTAGCGGAACCCTAATATATGATGATATTATTATTTTTCCTAATTAATACTTATACACCCCCTAAGGAATTGTTTGCACTTCAGAGGATTCAAACTTTAGACCTTATATATCTTGAGTGTTGGAGTTGGTGGGCAAGTGAACACAAATGGGATACACTTACATATATTCAACTGAATTAGTATACACACAATTCAGAAACACTCACTTCTATAGAACTAAATTCTTATATCTTGTATTGCTCAATTGTTTGTGTCGAAATACACTTACATGACTCACCTATTTATACTACTCCAGGGATACTTCTAGTACATGAATTTAATACATATAATGAACTAAAATATTTCATATGAACTAAAATATTCCATGTATTAGCAATTATTATGAGATTCTTTGTACCTTCCCAAGTATCACTTGGTCTTCTTAGATGAATCTAGAGAAGTCTAGATTAATCTTCCAACATCCCCCCTTAAGATAGACTTGTGTAACTCCAAGTTTCTCCTTCAATTTGATAAAACTTTTTAACTTCAATGCTTTTGTAAAAATGTCTGCAATCTGATATTCGGTTTTACAGTGTTTAATGACAATTTCTCCATCTCTAACCAAATCTCTAATGAAGTGATACTTGATTCTAATATGCATACTTCTGCCATTAAAAACTAGATTCTTACTAAATCCAATTGCTGAATTATTATCACAAAAAAAAAAAAAAAAACCAGTATCTTTTACCTAAAAATACTTCAAATCTTCTAATACCCATTTCAACCATAGCGCTTGGCAACTAGCTGTGGACAGAGAAATATATTCAACTTCTGTAGTTGAAAGTGCTACTACAGGTTGCTTTTTGTTTGTGGAGGAGGCAATTCTTCATCACTTGATGATAATGAACTCGAGCTTGGAGAATCTGGTGTGTTTTTAACATGCTGAACATCTTAATCTTCTTCTCTACTTTCCATATCCACAACAATTGAATTCTTTTCTTGAATGGTATTTTCCCATTTCCATTCTTCTTTTTCATTGAACTTCACACCTCCGATGATGATTATCTTCTTTGAGGTAGGATTGTACAACCTATATGCCTTCGAGCTTTCACTGTAGCCAACAAAAACACATTTTTTAGATTTATCATCCAATTTACCCCTCTTCTTGTCTGGAATATGGGAGTAAGCAATGCTGCCAAAAATTCTTAGATGATTAATACTTGGCTTTAAACCACTCCAAGTTTCATAAGGAGTCATTCCTTAAACAACTATACCACACATGATACTGTTTCACCCCAAAAAATCTTTGGCATCCCTTTGCTGTCAACATACTTCGAGCCAACTCCATGATGGTTCTGTTTTTCCTTTCGGCAACTCCATTTTGTTGTGGAATCCCTCGAACAGTTTTTGATGTCGAATACCATGCTTGATCAAAAACTTCTTATAACTGATGTACTCCCCACCTCGATTAGATCGTATGGTTTTGATCTTGTAGCAACTTTCATTTTTTACAAGGGCTTTGAATGCTTTAAATCTTTTAAATGCTTCATTCTTTTCTTTCAGCAAATAATTCCATATTTTTTTGCTATAATCATCTATAAACATCATAAAAGAACGATTACCTCCTATTGATATGGTTCGCATTGGTACACACAAATCTGTATGTACCAACTCAAGTGAATTTGAAGCTCTCTACGCCTTTCTAATGGGCAAAGGCTCTTGATGATGCTTTCCCAAAATTTAAGCTTCACAAACTCCATCTTCTTTATTGATTTTTGGCAAACCTTTCACCATGTTCTTTTGACACATGTGGGATAATGAGTTGAAACTCACATGCCCATATATGTGATACCATAGCCACGATTCTTCATTTATCATGGCACTAAAACTAACCAACTTCTCATACACAAGCTTCAATGGAAATATTCTGTTTTGTGTCATTTGTACCTTGGTAATCAGCCCACCATTTTTGTCTTTGATCACACAAACATCATTGTTGAAGTGTACATCATTTCCCTTTTGTAGAATTTGTCTAACACTCAAAAGATTGTATTTAAGACCTGGAGCATAATATACATCAGTAATCTTCTGTACTCCCTTCTTTCTTTTGACAAGAATGTCACCTTTTCCTCTAACGTAATGCCTTTTATTATCACCAGTTTTGACTTCGCTTTGGATAGATTCATCCAAATTTGCAAAGGCATTTTTATCTCCAGTAACATGATTGCTGCAACCGCTGTCGATGTACCATATATTTTCTGAAACTTCTTTTTATGTATTGCAAGCCAACATGAAAACTCCTTCTTCCTTTTCTTCCTCCTTGTGTATGAATGTCGAACTGTTGCTTACTTCATTATCATTCTTTTTGAACCAGCAATCTGCTTGAAAATGCCCTAATTTTCCACAATTGAAACACTAGAGATGATATAAGTCACCGTGACCTTTACTTTGTTTTCTGCCTCGGCCTCGGCCTCGACTACTATTCATTCCTCTTCCTCTTCCTTTATTAGGAGGAAAATTAGCATTTTCCTTAGACTCAAAAATTCTTCCTTCACTATTTCTTCCTCTTCCTCGGCCACCTCGATCACTTCTTGTTCCTCTCGAACCTCCTCTAAAAGAAGTTTGAGCATGAAATGCTTGTTCTAGAGCACTAAATCAAAATTATTTAATCGAAGCTCATGAGATTAGAGTGATCGATCCCATCAAGTTATTTACTGACAAAGTCAACAAATCTTTCGACTCTTCAATTGCTACAATGATGTGTTTGAATTTTATTGGCATACTTCGGAGGATTTTTTCAACAATTCTTTGATCTTGAATATATTCTCCATTCACATTCAATTGGTTAGTGATCGAAAGAATACGATTAAAGTATTCTTCTACACTTTCAAAATTTTTCATCTTAATTGTATCGAATTCAGCTCAAAGAGCTTGCAATCTCACCACTTTAACTTTATCTTCACCCTTATAAGTGGCATGTAACATATCCCACGCTTGCTTTGCTGTAATGACTGTCGAGATTCTTTCAAAAATTACTTCATCAACTGCTTGATAAATGAAGAATAACGCCTGCCTGTCCTTCTTTTGATTTTCCTTCAACTTATTGAGTTGTGCTTGACTCAGCCCTGCTTTATTCTCCAATTTTACAAAACTATTTTCAACAATTTCCCATAAATTTTGGGATCCATACAACACCTTCATTTGTATACTCCACTGATTGTAATTCTTCCCACTAAACTTGGGAAGTTGGGGCTCCAACATGTTGTTAATTAGATACCATTTTTCTTTGCCGATCTTTTAACAAGGCTCTGATACCACTTTGTTGGAGTTGGTGGGCAAGCGAACACAAATGGGATACACTCACATATATTCAACTGAATTAGTATACACATAATTCAGAAACACTCGCTTCTATAGAACTAAATTCTTATATCTTGTATTGCTCAATTGTTTGTGTTGAAATACACGTACATGACTCACCTATTTATACTACTCTAAGGATACTTCTAGTACATGAATTTAATACATACAATGAACCAAAATGTTTCATATGAACCAAAATGTTTCATGTACTATCAATTATTATGAGATTCTTTGTACCTTCCCAAGTATCACTTGGTCTTCTTAGATGAATTTAGACAAGTCTAGATTAATCTTCCAACGCGGGGCACCATGATCAAGTCTTACCCACCTGAAGCAACCCTTGGGGTTTACGATGATATTATTTCAATATACAAAGTTTATGGTGTGACAAGTGTAATGGACTTGAATTAAAATTTTGTGATGGTTATTTAAAAAAAAAAAAAAAAAAAAAAAAAAAAAAAAAAAATTCATGATACCCATAATTGCTAGAAAAGTATTTACTCTTAGTAACAAATAAACTAACCTGCTCCTCATATCACTGTTAAAGCCCATGCGAGAATGGCATAAAAAAAAACTCTTCATGATCCGCATATAATAAAGTTAATAAAATATTATCATGTCTTTTTTGTCTTAGAAAAGAGCTGCCTCTTCATTAATATACGACTACAGTTACTAATTAAATTTTCCATTCATTTAATAGGCCTTATTTCAACCAAAATAAGAATATTAAACATTTAATGCCATCAATCATGAAAACTTTTTTAGGAAGAGTAGGTCACTTCCCCAAATTAATAGTCTATTATATTCTTACCTTGATAACAACATTATTGTGTCATAAGTAAATCACAAATCTAAGCAATTGTAACCCACAACCATTCGTAATCCAACTACTTCCATTAGTTTAAATATATCCGACTTTCGAAATCTAATGGATATATTAATAAATTAATTACAAGCTAGCTAGTTCATATATAACTACCCTAAACTCCAATCTATACTTCATCTGGATCTCATATGCCATGCATTTAATAACATTAACAATAATTTTAATAATAATAATAGTCAGAAGAATATTTTCACATGACTTGTATATATTGTAGTTAATCAAAACATAAAAAAGCCCACATAAGTGCTGGATCAGCTCAACTCAATCATATCATTTACAGACAATATATATATATATTACAATATACAGATCAGATCAGTGTTAGAAGCAAAATAAAACGCTCACTGCATCACAGATCAGAAGCTGTGATCCATCTAAAATAACCCACATAATATATATTTATATATATATATATATATATCTTGAAAAACAAAATTAGAACCAAATAAGGTGAAAGGAAAAGAAAAGAAAAAAAAAGGAAAAGAAAAAAAAGGTGAAGCCCCTTTGCTCAATTACTGGAGTTCTGCAAATCCAAGAACTCATTGAAGTTGGTACATTCAAACAAGGCCTTAGCATTCATCTCCCTCTCAAACCTCCAAATGTAATTGAGGCCCACCAACAGCTCAGTAATTGCAGCCTCAGTCTTCTCTTTGTTGGCAAAAAATAGAGTTTGCAAGAGAAGAACGTTAGTTTTAGGCACCAAATTCTGCTGCTCAAAGCTCCTTTCACTCTGCCACTTTATCATGTTATGTGCCAATGGTGATAACCATCCTAATATCCTCACCAGTGCCTCTCTCCACTCTCCGGCAAGACCGGGGTCGCTGGCCGAAAACCCTACCCCTCTCAGCCTCTCCCTCAGGGACCACCTTATACTTCTCGGCAACATCGAGTACAGATCATCCCGAGCATCGGCTCCGACCAAGTGAGGTAACCTTATCATCTTCTCCATCACTATGATCAAGTTTGCATAATGCAGAGCTAGAGCCGCCGCGCCTAGGGTGGTTGCAGGCGGCTTTAACACCTTCGAGTTCAGCTCGAAAAACCCATCATCCGATGCTAATTTCTCGTGATCCTGAGCCTGAGAGCCCTTGATGAATGCCCCGGACACGAAATCACAAACATTAGGGTTTTGGTCAGAAGGGTGGACAGTTGCTGAAGCTGAGAGACTCCGTGGTAGAGAAGGTGGATAGTTGTGTACATGACCAATCCCGAAAACGTGCTTGATCCTTGCCAGGACTGTGAAGATAGATCTCACAAGCAATGAAGTGACTGTATCGAAACTTCGACACCATATCGATCTCTCTTTCAGATACTTCACTTCTTGTCTTTGGTAGAGAATCTTCTGTTGCTTCTCAATGATCTTTTCTTGCTCTTTACTCTTCAGTGACCTCTTCAAACTAGCCTCCATTGTCGAAAGCTCGTCCATTTCTCTATAAAGGGTGTTTGTCATCGCCACCAGACGATCCATCTTCTTGTTCTTGGCTTCAGTTTCTTTACAGCTCAGAACCCAATTGTTGGGATCGCGGCATGAGTCTGCAAATTCATCGAGCAAGCGATCGAAGCACCGGAGATTCGAGTCCTCGCACCGCTTGCTTATCCTCGACACGGACTTGGAAACGAGTCTGACACTTTCCACCATCTCCGCACAGGCGAGGCTGAGGAGAAAAGCTTCGTCGTTGGATATGATCTTTTGCACTCCTTCGAGAGAGATAGATTCGTTGTGGATGCGGACGATGTTTTTGTCGGAGAGGGATTGCCAGAGATGGAGGAGCTTGGACATGAGTCCGGCGATCTCGAAGGCCAAGACGCCGACGTTTGATGATCTCTTGATTGTTTTGGTCTTTGGTGGAGTGTCCACAACACGGTTCCATATCGTTGTCTTCACTTTGATTAACAATGTTTCGAGATCCATCATGTATGAGTTGTGCTTGATAGAGAGAGATGGAGGAGTTATGCAAATTCTTTGAAGATTAAGAAGACGATGGGGTTGATGAGAGAGAGAGAGAGTGAGTAGAAAGAGATGGAAGGGAGAGAGAGAAATAATTGAAGAGTGGAGTTGCAGAGAGATAAGGATGAGAAAATTTTGGAGATGCAGGGTGTAAGGCTCGTGGGATGTTGAAAGCACTTCCAATATAAGTCTAATAAGAAAATGAGTGTGTGTTGTGTGTGAGAGAGTATCACTTGGGTGTACTTTGTCTTTTTTGTTTGAAATGCCATATATATATATATATATATATATATATATATATTTGTATATGCATATAATGTTTCTATGTAAGTAAAAAACATTTTGTGGTCTGTTTGGACGCATATAAAAAATCTCTTCTACAAGTGAAGCAATATTGCACTTTCATCATTCTTGGCTTTTCCTTTTGAATTCTGAAGCATCAATTTTTTTCTACTGTTAATTACCTTATTTGTTCTGTGTTTATTATTAATTGGACGAAAAAAGGGAACTGACCCTACTAAACCTAATATACATCATAAGTGTATATCACTTTCAAGTAGTTGGATTCCATTAACAAATGAAAGTAGTTTTTGAACTTCTTAGTCTTAATTGTAGGGCACAAGCCTCCTTATGAACTAATCAAGTTTGGGAATTGTAGGGCACAAGCCTCCTTATGAACTAATCAAGTTTGGGAATCACTCAGATCTAAGCGCAAAAAAAAAAAAAAAAAAAAATGGGAATTGAGGTAGAAATTAACTTCTAAATTCTTTTGTCTAGAAATTGTTATAAATTATTCAGTGGAAAAAAAGAAAAACAAACTGCTATAAATGTCAAAGAATTTAATGCCATTAATGGCTGCAACAATAGAATGGTTTGAGTAGTTGGGTTTGTTTCAAGGTCTAAGCTTTGATCATATACAAGTTCAAAACTTTGGCCACACATCCAAACGATAGAGACCATTCAGAAAAAGAGAGAACTGCATAAGTAGACTTCAATGCTAAGAATAATATGGAGGAATTTTGTGGCCAATATGACTTCAACTGCTTAAACAAGGGCCAACTCCGATAAATGATGGGTACATATATTCCGACTTATCTCCACATTAAAAGAGTGTTTTTCAAACCTTTTGAATTTGTGACTTCCGGATCATGATATGATAGAACAACCTCATCTTTACATCAAGTTCTACCTCATTATTTACATCAAGTTTTTTTTTTTTAGTTAGTACTCACACCCTTATACTTCTACTAAGATTTAAACTTTAAATCACTAACCTCTCCTTGAAAAGTAAGAACTTGACCTTATGGAATTGGTAGTACAGTGGTTGAAGATGGCATTATAATGTAGTAATTTGGTAGTACAGTGAACCATAGAGTAATACTACATTGGATATATTGAGAAGAAAAAAGAAAAAAAATGACGAGAAGGAATTGCATTGTGAAGGAATTTAGGGAAGCCCCACTTACTCATTCACATCACATGGTTTAGTGGGAAAGAGTGTTGGGTTGGTGAATTTAGGGTAATCAATTCAAGGGTTTTGGAGAGATTGACATTCGAAATGGTTTTCAAAATTAGAATTAGGATCTCAGTGTACCACAAGGGATGATGTGCAAAGGTTTATTTCACCATTACCCTTTTGCCTTTTGCCTTTTGCCTTTTGCCTTTTGCCTTTTGCCTGCCAAATGAAGGGCAGTAAAAAGAACCTTGTTTACTCTGTCGGCAAAGAGAATAGCAACCATCCTACATTCCCATGCCTTGATGAAAGTGCTTTCTAAACAAATGACTATATAAGTCACACCACCCTCCCCTCTCTCTCTCTCTCTCTCTCTCTCTCTCTCTCTCATGCATGAATACTATATATATAATGTATATCTCTTTCACGGATACACTGTTCTATTAGTTTATATGAATTGGCTAAATGTCGATGTAGATCCAAAGATAGTTAAACAGCTCTGCCAAAGTCTAAGAGCCTGTTTGGCAATTTGCCATAGCAAATTGGTGCTTTCAGTTGCTTCGCAGTGTAATAAGTACAGTTCAAAAAAAAAAAAAAAAAAAATACAAACTCTAAAATGATCTTTTTAATTAGTTATTTAAATTTTCAAACTTTTAACATTTTTTTACCAAACATATTTTCATGATTTTGTTTTCAAAAATCTTACAACAAATATAAATTAAGAAACATGACTCAGAATAGTATTGAACATTCTCAAAAACAAAAATATTACTTTTGTTTCTAGTCAAAGCAAAAGTATAGAGTAACTGTGATTGCCATATTGACCATAAATGTGAGATATTGTACTTCTAATCCATATATATTCAAGTAATATTAACCCAATCAAAATTGGAATGCTAAACCCCGGACCTTTTGCATATTAGACTACTGGCCATTGTTATTCTTGATTACAATTTGGACAATTAAAGAAAGTATAAGAAAATAAGGGATTGCTTTAACATGGCATGTTGGACAAATGTAGGACAACCACCTTTCAACTAATGAATCCGAGGATAGATATTCGATTCTCTACCAACTGGGGTTGAGTGACGATTACTAGATTAGAGAATTTTAGTACATATCATGATCCTAGCACTAGAAGTACAAGTTAAGAATTTAGAAATTAATGGGTCATTGACTTTCTCAACAATTTGCTTCTTTCTTGATTTGAGATGATCCTTGATTGCTTGTTGAACCCTCTGTCCATGAATCATTTGAGCTTTGAAAATGCTGATGATGGTTGAGTGCTTGTTTGGCCAGAACTCAGAAGCTAATTGCTTTATTAAATTTCCTAATGTTGGCCAAAATCCTAGCAGAATATACCATAAAAGAGGGCAACAATTTCCACATAAACTCACAATAGAAGAGAAACAAAATGGTAAAAAGAACTTTGTATACCATTTATTCTTTTTCTAAGCTAAGTGATGCACATATAGTGATGGTAAGGGATTCCATCCTTGTTCCCATTTAGCATAACTCTCCCTATTTTCATCCAAAATTATGGTAATAATTCATTTTCTCTTATACAGAGAAGAACAAAATTCAAAAACTTAAATTTAAAATTATTGAAATAAAAGTAACAATGATTGAAAGGACAATGCATGTCTTAGGGAATATAAGACCCCTTAAAAATTAGATGATCCGATCAGCCTTGAGAGATTATTACACGGTGGAGGCGCAATGAACCTCACCAATCACAATTCGATGTGTAATTAAAAAATTAAACAAAATATTAGATTGTCCTAGAACATTGCATTTGGTGATCCACTTCAATCTAGACTCTCGATTAAAAAAATGTAGGGCGATTTAATACACTATTGTGAGTCATCTTCTTAATTGGAAAGTCTGAATTAAAATGGATCACTAAGTGTCAAATGGTTCAGGACCATTTAATAGTTTCTTAAAATTAATACATTTATTTATATATTAGGTTGTGATTGCTGAGATCATGTAAAATTTCTCGTCCCAAAATTCGCTTACACTAGACCAAACAAACAAACATAGCCCATTCAAGAGCTAGGCCCATTAGTTCCCTAAAAAATCAAGCATCTAACCTAATTTTTTGAATTTCATCCCCAACGTAATCACTTCATTTGCATTCATTCATCTTTCCACTCTCTTTCCCCAAAACTATCCCACACCCCCATTCTTTATAAAACCATCACCATTTTCTTTCCCAAATTCGTAAGTTTATATTACTCATGATGATCTAACACAAATTGGCAGACCTAACTCTAAATCAACAAACTCTTATGGTGCTTGGATAGAAGATTATTGAAGCAATTTTAGTAGATCCACAACATTCGAATTAGGGTTTCTCTTTCCCTAATTATGATTCTATCTTCTCTTTCCTTTTATCAAGGAATATTTTTGTACCTCAAATTAGGGTTTCTTCAGTAGCAAATTGGGAACATGCATTTTGTTATCATTTTTATTGATGTAGATATCATGAATTTGGTCTCCCTTCCATTTCTAATTAAGTCATTTATAGGCACCTGATATGCTAAGGATCGAAGGCTTTCCTGCCTATTAGTTCTTTGTTGACGTTAGTAGTTTTTTGGGTTCATCTCTATAAATTGCTTTCTGTTACAACTATTCTGGGAATTATTGAATATAAAAGAAAGGGTTAATTTCACTCACATCCCCTCAAGTTTGGCAATTTTTCACCCTCAAACATTTTTCGAAAATAACTATCACTTATGTCCATTTTATCTTTTCCGTTACAGTTTCCGTTAATAGCATCAGAAAAGACAACTTTACCCCTTATTTTTTAATCTCAATTTATTGCAAAATATCATTTTACTCAAATGACTCTTATACCCCTCATTATCATACCCACCTGTCACCACCACTCCCATATATGCCCTTTCTTTCTCTCTCATTTAATACATTATTGGCTGCATCTCGATTTTCTACAAATCAACGCCCTCTCTTCTCTATTCTCTACCGATCAACGCCGCTATGTCTATACAGATCAACACCACTATGAAACCCTAGATATATAGTTCCAGAGTCCACCCACATACATCACCGATCAAACCCATTGATAAGTGCTCAAATGTTGCACATTTTAGCACCTAAGTTAGGGTGTTTTAGTTAATTCATTTATTTTACTTTCTCGTTTTAGTTCTAATTCTTGTTTTTGTCTATTTTAGGTCAATAAGATTCAAATGGGCTAAAAACAGTGTATTAAGCCCTCTTTGGAGTCAAGAAGAAAATTTGAAAAAAAGGTATGAAAATTTGCCTTGGAGTAATCTCAATCGATTGAAGATTCATCCACAATCGATCGAAGGTTGGCGATCCTTCAAAGCCACGTCAACAAAGGGATAAGACTGCCACCTGATCATTCGACCAAGTTCCCAATCGATTGAAGCTTTTGGCGATCGATCGCAGTGCCACATCAGCTCCAACTAAGCAAATAAGGTTGCCAGTTATCAAGATAAGCATGCCACATCATTCATGATCGATCGAAGATAATTTTGATCCATCGAAGCCCCTTTTGATCGATCGAAATCCTGCTGGCAGGGAGCTATTTAATTCCCAAGCGCGCCCGAATTCCGCCTAACTTTTGGCTACGGGATTAGACCAATGAAATGGCTATTTTCTGATTTGTTGCCTACACAAAAGGGCTTGTATTTAAATCAAATTAAACCAATTGTATAGGATTCCAAGTTTTGTTCTCAATTTTTAGCTAGCTTTTACATAGATTAAACATAGTTTCTTCTTTCGAGATTAGGGTTCTTGAGCAAGAGAAGAGGCAAGAAAGGAGC